TATATATATATATATATATATATATATATATATATATATATATATATATATGAAACCCCAAACCACCAAACCACGACCAAAGAAATAGCTGTTAAAGCTTCAATTGCAACTAAGAGTCAGTTTGTTCAAAGGAAAAAAAAGAGGCCCCCACCAACCCAAGGCGCAGATGCAAGCGTTCTATAATATTTTTTCAGGTTACTGACATGAGATCGTCAGCTATTTGCATAGCTATCTGTGTACAGGTGCACCGGGTTTCTCTGCAGCTGCAACACTAGGAGCCTCTTACATTCCTTGTTTCTTGGTTGTATTGCATCAATCAGAGCGCAGCAGTTCTCTTTAGGGGCCCGTAGAACTTGGCCTTCTCCTCGGAGGTCTGGAAGCGACCATGGCCCCACTTGGATGAAGTATCGATGAACTTGAGATGAATGTTTTCTAGGGCTCTGCGAGAAGTACGAGGCACAAGGGTCTTTCTCAGGGTGATGGGGCGTTTCTTGCAGCCCACGATGCAACCCTTGATCATGATGAAGTCACTGCGAACTTCACCGTAATGAGGGAAACCACCCATGGGCGTGATACGTTTCTCCGTCAAGTCCGCGTCGGTTGAGCCATTGCGAGGGTCGCTGCCGCTGCCTATGCGGTAGACCTTCTTGTTCATCTCAGTGCGGTGGAAATAACCCTTCTGACCGTGACGAGGCACCTGGAACTGAACACGAGCTGGATGCCAAGCCCCGATACAAGCAACCTTACGCAGACCTCTGTGCGTCTTGCGAGGCAACCGCGTCACACCGAAACGCGATACAACACCCTTCACTCCGTGACCCTTCGTCACGCCTATCACATCCAACATTTCGTCCTGCTGGAACACTGCGCTGATCGGCACAGGAGATTCAAACATCTTCGTCACAAAGTCAACCTGAAACCAAACAACACACAAAAGAATACACAAACATGAATCCGAAACAAGCACAAAAACACACAGAAAATGAATAAAAAAAAAGAAGGAAACACAAGCGGAAAGCATCAAGCAGACAATCAAAAACAGTGAAAAAAGAAGAAAACGAGAGGTCACCATACAACCCAGTACAAGATGCAGCAGTTCAAGTCTAAACCCTAAACCCTAAACCCTAAACCCTAGAAACTAGAAAGTTTATATTTCACTTTTATTTTACCTTTTCGGGTACAGTTCCTCCGTTGACTTGAATTTCCATGATATGTGCTTTTCTCAGGCCGGTGGGGGTCTTGCTGGGTTGTGTATGGCAGATGGCTCTTACTACAGAGCAGTGTTGTTTGATGGTATCTATTTCAGCTTGCATTTTGTTGTTTTCTGCGTATTTCTTTGAGTAACGAGTGAAAGCTTTTCTCTTGCTCTTATACCAGTTCTTATAGAAACGACGACGGCACTCCTCGCTCAGGTGACCTGCCCATACTGTCGATAGAGCTCTCAAACCCCGTGGTGTTTCAATATAACCAACAACACCAACACATATCATCGGCGGGGATTCCACAATGGTTACAGCCTCAACAATTTCCTTCTTGTGCAGCTCTGAAACAGAAAAAGAAAGATAAACAAGCAGTGAAGAATAAGCACAAAAATACACAAATTCGTCGTCAACAACACCACAAACACAAGGAAAAAGAGGAACACACGAAACTTGAATTGATACTTCCATGGTTTTTCTCAGGATCAGCCCCGCATAAGCGAGTCAGGTTTCTTCATACAAATACAATATATTTATTGCATTTGTTTAAGATGAAACCAGTAGCCCAAGACTAGGAATATGGAAGCCTGCATTGAGGAGCAGAACTCAACTCAATCCATTCGATATAGGGTGCTGCTGTTTTCAAACATACACCATGAAGCTGCTCAAGAAGAACAGCCGAAGGTGCTTGTAGNTATAGGGTGCTGCTGTTTTCAAACATACACCATGAAGCTGCTCAAGAAGAACAGCCGAAGGTGCTTGTAGACAGCAGAAGGGCCGCAGCAACGCCATAAAGACGCGCGTTTAAGCCCAGCGCCCGGGGGAAACACAAGAAAAAAAAACTATTATAATATCATCCAAATAGTTTTATTCTACGCAGCAAGTATACATACACAAGCACACACAAACATACGTCTACGAGTACAAAAAAAAGAGAAGAAAGAAACTCACTTGAACCTGGCCTCTCCACCTCGCGCACGATGTGGGTCATGCCGGCCTTGTAGCCCATGAAGGCGGTGAGATGAGGCGGCTTGGATGCGTCATCCTTGGGAAACGCTTTTACTGCGGGGAATACAAACGCACACAGACAGACTGCAGCAACATGAATTCATCGTTGCTGCTCTCTATCAACCCATACGCCTCTCCTCTTTACAAACAAATACCAATAAAGTTAAATTTTGCTACAATTCAACTCCATTAAGAACTTTCTCCACATATAGCAGCAGAAACACCAATCAGAAAGCTGAGCCGATAGCTGTGAATGCCCCCCCGTGCTGGGCTGTGCTGGTGATGCGTGTGTTCTTTGTGCAGCAGAAGTTGAGAAACTAAAGAAACTGCGTGATAAAAATGAAGAATATTGCATTTAATACTTTATAATGAAGTAAAAAACCCTAAAGAAAGCTTCATATTCTCGCTTACCCTTTCCTCTATGGCGGCGGCAGCGCTTCCTTGGGCAGAAGCCCAGGGAGCCGTGGCGCGGCCTTTCGAATTTTCTGTGCGACATTTTAAATGAAAAACGAAAAACGAAATCCACAAAATGTCGCAAAACTCTGCAGCCATCGCCCCACATGCCTCTCGCTTCTTACCAGCGGGAAGGGTGCAGCAGCAGCAGCAGCAGCAGCAGCAGCAGTAGCAGCAGCAGGCCGCAGCAGCAGACCCCCACAGCCCCGCTGCTACGCCGCTGCTGCTAGACAACAGCAGCCAACAACTGCATGCATGCATCTTCGGTTTACAGAATTACAGGAGATAATAAAGGTTAATTCACAAAATTTTAGTTTTTAATATACTCATATCCTGAGGATGTTTGCTTTCTATACACACACCAACACCACCGCTCCGGCTGACCGCAGCAGGTTTCTGTTGGCTCCGTCAATAGAACCTAGAAACTCAAATACTCTGCAGCAACCAGCTGGTTGAATACAGAATATTATTGCTGAAGTCACCCTTATATATATTGTGTATATACTTGCAGGCAGCGCATTGTGTTCTACGTGAAATAGGTGTTTTGTGTATCAACACGGCTTACGTACAGGCGGAATATGAGAGGTCAATTAGATGTTTTAAAATTCTTTTTAGTATTAAAGCATTAAAATTCTCGGTAGTTTTGATGCATGCAGCAAACGGGGCTGTTCTTGGGCTTCGTTTCCTCTGGCTGTGCAGCACGAGCTGCAGCACCAGCGCACTCGATCGCCTCACTCAGGATAGAAAGCTAATTCATTTGCCTTTTGTAAACTTTTATTTTAAATATTAAACATATTAAATGTTAAATATATATATATATATATATATATTTGGTTCTGTTGCAGCTCGATACCGCCGTCTATGCAGCTAGAGGAAGCAGCATATCATGAGTTGCAGCAGCATATCTTGCTGCAGCTCCTGCTGCTCGCTAACCTCACACACAAAAAAGAAAAAAAACTTTTTTAAATGCATGCATATGCCAGCCCCGTTTTGTTGGATACTGTAAGAAAGTAGAGAATCATTAAGCCGGCGTTTGACGCTCAGTGAGGAAACCTATGCTCAAGCAAAAGTAAATGCATTATCTCGAGACAGACGAATATATTTTATTGAATATAAAATATTTTATTGAATAAAACAATATATTATATTCAATAAAATATTTTATATCCAATAAAATATTTTATATTCAAAAAAAGAATTTATTAATATCACTCTAGCTGCTTTCTTTACTCAGCAAGCCCCCCTAGGAGTGGAAATGCCAGCATATATCATCAGCACTAGCCCCCGAAACCATCACATATTTCCTTTTCATGTATTAAAAAATAAAATAAAATAAAATAAATAATAAATAATAAATAAAAAACAAAAACAAAAAACGCATCGCTGTGTATCCTGTCTACGTATACAGAAAAAATCAAGTTTCAGCTGAGCTGAACAACACGATGAGTTTCTTGTTTGTGCTGCTGCTGCTGCTGCTGCATCTATTGCTGCTCTTGTTGCTGCTGCTGCTGCATCTGCTGCTGCTGCATCTATTGCTGCTGCAGTTGCTGCAACTTCTTCTTTAGTTTGTTCTCTGTCTTAGTTTTTTTCGTTTCTCCTCCTCCTCAAGTAGTAGCTGATGAAGAGTTTCGGTGTTTTCTTTGTTGCAGCATATCTATAGAAAAGAAACTTTTGCAGCTTTATTAACTCATAATAAAATAATAATTTTAAGAAATAATTATTTAATAATTATTTCTTTATAATAAATAAAAAACACAGACACAACGCCCAGTTAGCCGCACATAGATTCACAAATTTCAGCAGCAAGTGCAGCTTCTTGAGCTTTCTTTTCTCCCTCAGCCCGCTTAGTTTACTCATAAGAACCCCTGGGGGACCTAGGGTTTAGGGTTTAGGGTTTAGGGTTTAGGGTTTAGGGTTGGGGTTACAGCTGCGCAGGAGTGTTGATGGTTTGTGTAATTTTATTTAAAAAGGGTTTATAAGGAGATAAACAAAGTCAATACGGGTTTGTGTATGTTTCTGATGCTGCATTTCTTTCTGTTTGGGGTGTATATACAGCTCAGTTATGTATACTCAATCCCGCAGCAATGCCTCTATAGGTGTACACGCCTCATCCAGCTGTAAATATATATTACGAATGATAGCATCACTAAGTAAGAGGCCATCTGGTGCCTTCAGCAGCAGCCTGCAGCTCACGTTGCTGCTGCTGCTGCTGCTGCTGCTGCTGCTGCGGTGTCTATACAGCACCTGAATAAGCTGCGTTGCTTTCTCTACTACTGCTGCTTCTGTCTCCCCCGATACAACATTCAGCCGCCACTGCCCCTCCTCCTCTGTCTCCACCAGCACAGCCTGGGTTGCTTCGATTTCCTTCAGCAGTGAAGCGCATGCAGCCCCAAAAGTTTTGTTAGTAACACACTGATGCCTGCTGCTGAGTTGCTGCTGCTCCACCTGTATATTCGGGTGTACGTACACCCGGATTTCAGCTAGTTGAGGATTCTGCAGGAATGCTGCTGCACCTGATAACACAGAAGGAAGAACCTGCTGCAGCAGCAGCAACATTGCTTCTCCCTCTTTTGCTGCTGTGCTTGCATCTCTTACATCTGCTGCTGCTGCTGCTGCTGCTGCTGCTGTTGCTGTTGCTGCAGCAGCAGCTGTTGATGGGTTGGGTTGCCGGCAGTCTACAAAAGCTGCGCTGCAGCGCAGCAGATCCTCGATGGTTGCTGCTGGGTGCAGCAGGAGTTTCGGTGCATATTCTGCTGCTGCTGCTCGTGCTGCTGGTTGTGAAATTGCTGCTGCTGCTGCTGCTGCTGCTGCAGAAAGAGTCAATAGATGCAGCAGATCAATACCATCTGCAGCGCGGAGAGCCAGCATCAGCAACTCCTGTATTCGGGTGTATGTCCACCTCGCCAGACTTGTATCTTCGCTGTGATTGTTTTTATATAAAAAATAAAAATCTTTATTTGTTTTCTTCTTAAGAAATGTTTTATAAGAAGATAAACTAAAAAAAAAAAAAAAAAAAAAAAAAAAAAAAAAAAAAAAAAAAAAAAAAAAAAAAAAANAAACCCTAAACCCTAAACCCTAAACCCTAAACCCTAAACCCTAAACCCTAAACCCTAAACCCTAAACAGCTCTTTCAGTGTATATTCACCTCTTAGGGTTTGTTTGTCTCCGGCCCCTCACAAATGAAGAAGCACCCAAACCGAAAGCAAAGACAGTCTTGCCCCCCCAGTATAGCTGCGAGTGTATACACCTGCTGCTGCTGCTGCCGCTGCAGCTACTGCTGCTGCTGCTGCTGCTGCTGCTGGACGGTAACTGCTGCTGCTGTTGCTGCTGCTGCTGCTGCTGCTCCTGAGTTTGTCTGTCTCCATCTGAAGGATAAAGAGCGCAAACATCTCCGCACAAATATAATTAATCTAAGCCAGAGAAAGACGAAGATGTAAGAAACATATTCAGGTGTACAGGCAGCTCAGCAATTCAGGTGTATAGACACCTCAACACCACTAAAAAACACAAACGGCAGCAATCTGCATTTTGTGTTCCCTTCTTTAATCAATGCTGATGAGAGAGTGCAGCTGCTGCTGCCTTCTCGGGTGTATGCATAGGAAACTCAAGGGTCTAGGGTTTAGGGTTTAGGGTTTAGGGTTTAGGGTTTACCTGGGGTGTACAGGGACCTTCGGGCGAAGGAAGAAACTTCATAGTGCTCGTAGCCGCGCTGCTGCAGCAAACTGAAACACAAAGCAGCAGCAACAACCACAACAAATGCTGTCTGCTGCCTGCATGCGCTTTATA